ACAAATGGCGGGAACTCTTTGCAACGAGCATTTCTGTGCTGCAACAAAGAAATGCACCCTGCAAAGAAAGCTTCAAATTGGCGGGAAATTCTCCCTTGCACCGGGGTTCTCTTTTGCAGCAGAAAACTCTACTGCGCAAAGAAGCTATAATTTAGCGGGAACAATTTAGCAGTGCCGAAGCACACACAAACAAAAATCACACCCTTTGGGTTGTGACAAATAGGTAATAGGGCTGTGCAAAGCTTTGGTCACTGATTCGATTCAGAGGAGATTCGGCCCGATTCGGTGGCCAAATCCCTGTATCTGAATTGAATCAGGAGACGCATTAAACTCTCCGAATCGAATCAGAAGCTTCTGAATCGATTCGGAGAGATTCAACGATTCGGCCATAGACACAACTTTATATGTTTTTTCTACATACCTCAAGGTACAAGGCTCAGCTTGTGAATGCTGAGATGGTGGGCTGGATGGAGTGTCCCACAGGAACACAGGGAGGGGGGTCACCCGTGCGCTCGGTGGCAGACCTGGAAGTGGACCAGAAGTACTTCTGGTCCACTTCTGTGTCTGCCACTGTGTGCGAGGTGAGACCCCCCCCCCCACCCCCCCGCCCCGGCTTGGTGACTGGTGCCTCCTGGGTCTGGGGGGGGCACCCAGAGTCCCCCCCTGTGGCCAATCACCAAGCTCGGGGGGTGCGGGGGGGGAGATGTCCCCCACACGCTCCATGGCAGACCCAGAAATTGTCTGGAAGTACTTCTGGACCACTTCTGGGTCTTCCACCGAGTGTGTAGGGCCCCCCACCCCTGCAGTCCTGTGGGGTGCTCCATCTGCCCCACCATCTCAGTATTCATGAGCCATACCTGGTACCTTGAGGTATGTAGAAAAAAACATAAAGCTGTGTCTATGGTCGAATTGCTGATTCTACAAATCGGAATCGAATCTTCAGATTCAGGTTCGCCCGAATCAAATTGGGACAGTGATCCGAATCAGTGAAGTGAATCGCTGTCCCCCGATCGGGCTGAATCCAAATCCGAATCGAATACTGCCCGCTTTGCACACCCCTAGTTGTTAATACCTGTAGAATGAAGAGTTTAGAAGGAATCAGGTGTATTATAGTAAGACTTGAAGTTAGGTGACTTCTGCCTGAACAGAAATGTTGCTGCCACTGCCAGGTGTTTGGTTTTAAAATTTGGGTGGAGAAGGAACCAAAGAGGGGTGCAACTGTGTCACTAGTTGCCGCCCTGGATTCACCCCTGTATCAGACCATCACACTATATTTTAGTTGGTAATAGAGTTTCTTGGAGAAAAAGAATACATTTCACACAATCTTCTAAAAAAAAATTCCTTGAATAAACTTAAATGTAGATTAACTCTATTTGATACTTTTTGTTTGTTTAATCTGGGTAGTTGCAAATTATTTCCTATTAGAGAGGGCATCGAATGTCTGTTTCAAATTGCTTGTTTTCTTTCTACCTGTAACAGTCTTGCTTTCATTTCTGTTGTGCATTTTACCTAATCACTCATTTCACCTAGCATAAACTGCTATATAGAATTTGGGTAGAGGGGTGGTTTAGTAAACGTCATTTTTTTCACAGGTAGTATTTGACTTTGGGAAAGGACTTTTGAGACAAATACAGATGGCTAGGGTTGACTTTGAATTTATTTGTCATGAGGCTTGCCAGGTGGTTCAGAGACATTGCTAGGCAGGTCTCCACTTTGTGGCTTCATAAGAGGCTGGATGTTAGGATATGTGCATTAGAGAATTCCTCTGATGCAGACACCTAAAAGTTAGGAGGAAGAGGGAATACGGTCCCCAAACTCTCCCTACCTCCCTAAGTTTTATTCAATATCCAGTCTGAATATTGAATTATTATTTTAAGCACATACATGTGTACATACATACACCCAAATGGAGTAGTACACATGTGATTTCTTGAAGTCAAATTAAAGATACAGTAGCATGTCAGTTGAATTATATGACTCTTGCACGCACCCCTTCTCTCCACACACCCTTCTTCCAACCGAGACAGCACCTTACACAGTCAGGGAGACTAAAACCAAAAAGGAAACATTACTGATATTTAGTTTCTATTTTTCATCAAATTTTCTAGAGAGATGGTCACAGGGACTCATTTATGAAGCTTTTACAAGAGGTTAGTTAGAAGAAACTGCAGCTGTTGCGTAGTTTCCTCAATGCCCATTTCTGTTTCATTAGTTACTATATAAAATAACAACAGCAACAACAACCAGTGCTCTTGCATCATTTCATGAACATGTCTTTAATAAGTGATCTAATACCCAGAAACAGGGCAGCAGCAGATTTTGATTTAACGTTTCATGGTTATGACAGTTTATTTTTTAAAAAACGAGGCCTGAATCTACAGAATGAAGTCAAGCAAAGTTGAAAGCATTGATCAGTACTCAAATTTATGCCAACAGGGCCATATCCTTCAGGATTTCCTTGGACATGACAACTTTAACTAAGGTCAGTGTCAGTTTTTGTTTGAGTAAGGGCAGCAGGACTGGGTTCTTAGGGCTACTTTAATATGGCTTTTGTGTGTTGATAAAAAATGCAACTTCTGATATAAGTTGCATGAGAATTGATGTTTAACTTTTTGGCCTTTAAGAAATTATAGTATGACATTAAGTTTAACTTTCCTGGCTAATGAAATTATCAAGATAGAACAGCCCAAGTTAAATAATAAATACAGTAATTCTTCTTTGCCTATTGTGTGCTTTTACTATTCATAATTTTTAGGACCATGGATATTAGATACACTTACGTAAGACTTAACGAACAGTAATTATCTTTTGGCTAAAGAAAAAGCCCAAACGAATGCTAAGCTGCATTATTGCTTGGTTTCTGACATGAGCTGATAATCAGATTTTCTTGCTTAAATCCATGGTGCTTGAACAATGCTACCCACTGTCTGTCCTTCCCGATATTACCCTTAATTAGAAAGAACAGAAACACAAATCTGAATTATTTCAAAATCTGGTTTCCATGGTCAGTGGTTGGAAGGGCTTAACTTTATTACAAATAAACCTGGCTTTCTTGGCTAATGAAATCTGAAATGGTAGGCCTGTAATAGTAGATAGTGTAATAGTATGGTGTTTACATACTGAAAAATCTTGTGTGGGCAAAGTGTTTTGTAATAAATCATTAAGTAATTGAATTATGATTCCTTCACCCAAATAATAAAAAGCAGAAAATGAGCCAAATAGAAGCTTAATGCTGTAGTTTAGATATTGAATATGTGGTCTTACAATTTTTATTTGTTGTAAATCAACGTGTCATCGTTTTTAGGTGGCAGACAGGATGTCAGTTTCCAAATTATCCTCCATATTTGAGGCATTTTTTATTGGTAGCATAGTTTGGTTATTCATTTCAAAGCATATGAGGATAATTACTATGTAAACAGCCTGAGAGATTTTTATATTTGAGGTTTGTGAAGCTAGACTGGGGGCCTGATTTTTTTCATTAGCTAATAGCTAGGATCTTTTATTTTGCAGTGATAATACTTATTTTCTGTAAAGCACCAAAAATGTGCTCAGTACTGTTCAACCTGTCCCACATTCATGTCCTGAAGTATTTTGTTGGCATAAATGCCGTACAAATATGTACAGTATGGTTATCATTTAGCAACGTATTGTTTGTATCAACCCCAGGACCTAGAACAAGACTAATAGGATAATGAGATACAAAAGACAGTGCCAGTCTTCTCCAATACATGGTCTTGTTTTATAATCAGACATGTATCAGTTCAGTGTACCCGTATACATGAAAGCCATATCAGGAGCTGGAGTTTTTTAAATATATTCATGCCTGGCTTTTCAGCAGAAAATGCCCTACATCTTCACTAGATACTTTACTTGCAATAAATAATTATAAAAAAACAGCAAAAAAACCACAGTGATCTTGGCAAACCAACAATTGAAAAGTACAGGTGCTAGGAGTATGCATAGACCTAAAGTAAACACTTTTTTAAAAAAACAAAGAAGGTACCTTTCATTTTGAGAAATTTATTTCTTTTAAATATTTGCAATCTGCAACAGATAGCACATAATGGCACTTTACTTTACTTTTTCACAAAAGGAATAGCTTGTGGTAACAGGCAGATGCTTGAGTGGTTTGTGTAGCATGAGGTGTACCATCAGTCAAGAAAATCAATGTTTACTGTTTTAGTATCTTTTCGTGTAGAAGTCTGCCTTGTTTAAAAAGAGGATTATGTATAATATATAAGACCTTGCTTTTTAGTTCATCAAAAAAGAAGTATTTTTGAAAAGGGCACATTTTTAACAATGAGGCACACTTAAACCCAGAAGTTCTAAAGTGATAAAGTGATAAGCAATACTCGTGACATGAGTGACACTGTGTGTGTGTTAAGGCGTGCCCTCACTGGTGCTGGAGCCTTTACATGACATGGTAGTGTGCCCCTATGAGGCTTCTTCCTCCTCTACCACCTCAGCCTGGTCCACCATTTTAAATAACAATAGGTAAGTAAGCAGTGCACTGTAGCACACTAGCACCAGCAGCATCTCAGGAAGCCAAACTGTCACAGAGCCTTTCCTTCCTTTCCTGCAGGAGCATTTTCTCTAGCAGCTTCCTGAGAACTCTCCCTGCCAGCCCCAGCCCTGGGGTTTAGATGTGCCCAGGGCCCTGTGTCCTTCTGGTCAGCTGACCAGGGACAGGTTCTAGGGGTGTTGGTCTAAGGACACGGCACTGGCAGACAAGGTCCTTTGGCTCAATTTGGTATCTTTTAGTAGACCAACTGAATAGTTAGAGAAATATATCTTAGCAAGCTTTCAGGTTGAAAAACCCTTCATCAGGCCAAGGAAGCACCTGCCGTTGGTATGTGTGTGCTGTTCCTGGATGGAAGGAATAGTAAAGAAGCCAGGTTTATGGCACACAATGCAGGCAAGAAAGCCAGTCAGTAGAAATGGAAATGGAGGCATCAGGGGTCGAGGGACAGGTTGGGGGGAGGGGGGGTGGTGGGAGCAAGGGGGATGTAGCAGTGCAGGTAAAAGTGGAGAAGTACCTGGGGAATCAGATGTCCAGCAAGTTGTAGTGTGGCAGAATGCAGTTTTAGTGGTCACGCCCAGGGCCTGAGGTCTCCTCCTTTCCTGTAGTCCCAGCCCATACCTCCATGTTCGTCCTGGCACGGAAGCTCAGCAGGGACATGTTCTTCTGGCTGGTGATGCAGTAAGTGCCCTCTCCAGCTCTGAGGGTGGGGCATTAACTGGTTAAAAAAAAAAGGAAATAGGTGCAAACAGAGTGAGGAGGGTGGCACTCACTCCATGTGCAGGCGCAGCTTGGGGGACCCCAGCAGCGGGAAGTTCATCTTTAGGAACACCAGCTGCTCCACCAAACCAGGATCCAATCAGGTGTGGTGGGGGGTCACAACATCCCCAGCAATGCTGAACACTTTCTCACTCAGAACACTGGCTGGGGGACAGGACAGGTGTTCCTGGGCAACCGTGGCCAGATCCTGCCACATCTGGTTGCAGCTTGCCCAGTAGGCCAAGGGGTCACAGTCCAGTGGCTCCACATCCTCAGTGAGATAGGTAGCCACTGGAGCCTTGGTGCTACCTGCCCAAGGCTGGGTCTGGTGCGTCTGGATCCCAACATTGAAGCCATGCCCTTGGCCCACATTGGTAGTGGCTGTCATGGAGGAGACTGGTTGGTGCTGGTGCTGAGAGTGCTGGCATGGGAAAGTGGATCCCCCTCTTCCACATCCCCTCGCCTCTGCCCTTCTGCCTCCCTGACTCTGTTGACCAGCACCTGCGTCCAGTGATTGGGGGTTTTAGTGCTGCCAGTGCACATGCTCCCCTTCACCCTCGGGTCATACATGCCCACCAGCACGTGGACCATACTGGACTGCAAGGGATCGAGCTGTCTCCTGATGCCCTCCTTCAGCTGCCTCACCAGTACCTGCATGTCTGGTGATAGTGGCTTGCCCCAGTCAGGAGCATTAATCCCCTGAAACGTCTCCATTTGGTTCTCAAGTTCCCTCACTATGGGGATCACCTGGCTAAAGAGGGCATCACCAGCACTGAGGGTCTTGGTTGTCTCGTGGAAGGGCTCAAGGACCACCAAGATCTGGGAGATGGTATCCCACTCAACTCTGTTAAGGGGACCACTGATCCCAATCTCCCTGAGCAAGGCCATCTCATGGATGGCCTTCTGTTGCTCCACCAGCCTTTCCAGCATCAGGTATACAGAGTTCCACTGAGTCTCCACATCCTGCATGATTTTGTGCTGTGGGATGCTCAGATCTGCTTGTTTCTCCCGCAGTGTCTTGCCCCACTTGGTGCTGCAGTGGAAGTAGCTCACCACCTTCCTGCATTTTGAAATCAGCTGGGTCATAGTGACGGCGCCATCACCAGCAGCCCTGTCCCCCTCCAAGGTGTCCCTGACTATGAGGTGCAGCTTGTGTGCTACACAGGGGATGCCAACAAAGTTGGCATCATGGATGACCTTGACCATATTGGCCCCATTGTCGGTGACCGTGAACCTGTGGGTGAGCTTGCCCTGACCAATGATCCACCCCTGCACCAAGCAGTTCATGGCCATCATGATCTCCCTTGCCATGTGGGACTCATCCATCACCTCGGCTTGAAGGAGAGCCCACTGATGGCCTGACTGGTCGCACCAGTGCTGTGTGAGGGAGAGGTAGGTGTGATCTCCACCCCAGCTGCTCCAGATGTCAGAGGTAAAGTGCAAGGCTACCTGCGGCCCTGCCTTGTGCAGCTCCTCCCTCAAGTACTCCCTGCATGCCTGATACAGGGAGGGCACCACTGGCCTGCTAAAGGTGGTGTGTGTGGGCACTTGGTAAGATGGGGCCATGAGTGCCATGAGTCACCTGAACCCTAGCTGCTCAACTAAGGAGAAGGGCTGGCCATCCAGAGCAAGCATCTCCCCAGTGTTCTGGATGATCTTGCTTGCCCTTGCAAAGCAGCCCCCTTTGCCTGTGGCTTTCCCCCACTGCTCTGGGGTGGCCTGCCTCTGCTTTGGGGGGATGGTGTCTTTGGAGCAAGCAGGGGATTTCCCTTTGGGCATGCTCCCACTGGTGCCAGGCTGAGGAGGAAGAGGGGCAAGGGGGTGCTGCCTCCTTAGATGCAGCAGCATTGCTGTGGTAGTGAAGTGTTTCACCTCCTTGCCCTGACTGATCTGTCTTTGGTAGTGCTGGCAGGTAGCATACTTGGGTTCATCTGCCACCTCAGAATGATCCCACAATACACTACTCCTCCACTTCTGGGTTGAGGGTGGGGATCTTGCCTTATCCCCATCCTCAGCAGGCAGAGGCACAACAACATGAGGAGCTGACTCAGATGAGCCACTTGCCTCCACAACCTTCTTTGAGGTATCTTCCTGACAAAGGGACCTGGATCTAGGGGAACTTTGATGGGTGTGGAGCACAAACTCAGATTCCTCCTTGGTCCCCAGAATTTCTTTAGCTAGGGCGCTCAGGTCCCCTGGTTCCA